CTGAATAATTAACTTACCGTCTCAGAATCTCAATTCTCTTACGTGTGAGACATTTTAATGAGATTCCTCTAATTTACTAGCTTACTCCTCTAAACTAACAATCTTGTGTTATTGAATATTATCATTACTAAGGCTCCTTTTACCTATGGAGCTTCACAGTATTACATTCATGTCGACGAAAATTTTTTTTGTCAACAATTAAACATTTGTTATAGTTTACTGATCTGTAAGTACATATCTAAAATGTAAAATACGGATTCATAGATATATTGAACATTTTATTTTAATAAACGTTGAATTATAAAGAAATCAATTTTTATTAAGGAATACTATAAATTAAATTTTTTGAAAAGAGACGTTGGTCACAGCTACCCCACCTCATTCCATAATGGCGAAAATGACATCATTGGGCAAAGTTTTCTTAATACGAAATATTTTTAACTCTCTTGAGTAAGACAGAGAAGAGTTATTATTATTTATGAAATGGAGATATGTATTGGAATGTTTATGGACTGGTATATGTGATTGTTTTGATTCTATTGTGTTGAAGCCATAGAACACTTGTTGCTCAAGAGATAGGAGATGTATTTTTTGAATGTGCAGGCTTTGAATGCAGGTGTTTTTTTAAGACATGCCCGGCCTGGAAATGAAATGTATATTATAAAATTTAAACAGTTGTAATATCTATTAATATTGTAAACATAACCATTATTCTATATATTTATTTTTATGCTAATACAATTTAATAAACTTCAAAAAGTAAAAACATCCTTTAAAATATAAATTAACTAACTAATCACTAACTGTCTATGATATACCAATTCGGTTAACAAATTTGTAATTCTAACATTTTTCACAGAAGAATGAAAATCAAAGTTCAGGTAGTTAATAATAAATGAAATGGGCAATAGGTGTGGGAATTATATATTAATGTGTTTTAATTACCACCATATCACTGTCAAATAAACCTTTTCAAACCAGCTTTGGAGCACAGGTGACAAGAAATAATAAAATATTTAAAACTTCAGGATATGTGCCAAGTTTTAATTAATTTCTTTAGGTACAAACAAAACCAGATAATAAATTGTTCGTTACATAATTTAAGAAGAACATAAAACAGCATAGAAATGGCTAGTGATTATTTTTTTAATAGTATGTAACGATTTTGTAGATTTAATTGAAGAAAATAATTTTCCAATATATTAATTTTTATACCAAAATTGTAGATTCATTATATGAAAACGGAATATCATCATAAAAACGTATTGAAGATTTGTGGGTCTGAAACATAAATCAATCCTTTTGCTGTCGATATTTTTAATTAATTTACTAGTTTCAATTGTCTTATATGCAAAATTAAAAAGACAACCCTCGTATACATACCTATTATTTTTTAAGATATAGAGACGTAAATAAGAAGCAACACAAAGCCATAATTTGATTCAATTACATGGAGAAAGCTTTCGACAGGGTACTAAAACAAAGAGGTTCAAATGTGAACTGTTAGCAGCAACTAAGAGCTGATAACTATAAATTATGTCACCACTCAAAAACTGAAATCGGATATTTTAAAACAACAGATACCTTGACTGCGTTCGCAGATAACGTAATAAAAGAATGTCGACGAAATTTAGAACACAAAAATGAAACTGAAATAATTGGAATACTTTTAGAGAAATAGTGAAACATGGTGAATATGATTGCAGAACATAATTTTTATAAAAACTTAATGATAATTACTGAATGATTACCAGTACTTAAAGATTTTGAGAAGTCTGTAAAAACCACATCAACGTCTTTGTGTCAACAGTACCGGATATTTAGGTTGGAGTTTGTGAATCTTATTCATCATATTTGCATGAATCCATAATATTGGACTTGTGTAATTAGATTTGATGCTTTAAAGTATTTATGGTTGTATAGAAAAATCTCAAAAACGTTCGCAAAAATACTTAGAATAGAAATCGGTAAATAATGTTCTATATTAACCCGACTGCACATACAAAATTCAGTTGGTATTAAGTCGGTTGCAATGTCGGCAGAGAAAAAATTTGGTAGTTGACCCGGGCCAGTTTCTAAAATTTTCCTATATGGAGAGTAGAAACAAACAGGAGTTTAGGTCAAAAGCCAAACGATATTCCAAGCAGAAATGATTGCTATAGAGTTGATTAATTTTATCCCTCTAACAAGATCTTTTCGAATATCGTGGCAGCCATGAAAATCCCTGAACTCCAACAGAGTTGACTCAAAGTTGGTTTGGAATTTTATAAATATCCTTGAGTGTCGTTCGAAACAAAGTTACTTTGATTCCCAGATCAAAGTAATTGTATCCCGGAACACATTCCGGGACACATCGGTGTGGAGGACGCTAAAAGAAGGAACCGAATCTGAGTGTATAGGACCATAATCACTCCTGAGCATTGCTAAGAGCACGGCCAAAGAAATTATCTCAAAATGGACAATGGGTGTAACACTTATGAACTGGAGATATACTCATAAGTAATTTGAAGGCGTTTATATCAAACCCTTCTATGAATGCATTTGCTCAGATCCGGGAATGGAGTAGGATAAATCTACGCATCCTTACGAGACTTATGACAGGTCATTCTCATCTAGGTAAAATCATGAGAAGGATACGTTTGCAACAAGCATTGGACTGTCGATTCTGTAGCAAGGAATATGAATTCGCAGAGCACATATACCTGCTCTGCTATGGCCACATGCCGATTTTACTCTTTTACTTAAAAATTTTCAATGCCATCCAATTAAGATGAAAACCTATTGGCGAGACATTCAATGGTTTCATCCAATTCCACGTTCATTATTAAACTCACAATGAACTTACGAAGTAATAAAGGCAATTTAAGGTATCCAAAATATTTTTTGAAAATATTGTTTTAAAATCTGTAAATATGATGTTCAGTTTTTCGATTTTTCCAAAATTTGTATTTTAATTGGGATTCAATTTTTTTATATTCACATTGTTTAAGTAATTTTTTTATAGTTTTATAGTCTTTATTTAGATGAACAAGGTATGAACAAACGTTTCAGATAATTAGCTACTGTCACTCCACCCCACTTGCCATTTAAAATTTTTAAGGGGGTGGTTTTATATGAAAAGAACTGTATTTTTCACAAAATAATAATAATTGTCTAATAAAATTTGGTCCGTATATAGTTCAGGTAAAATACATATGTTTTACTTGATTTACAAATGATTCGATATTATAAAGTGTAATTATTGTTATGTAAATTAGTTGAACTTTCTAATGAATATTTAAAACCAATATTAATATTTAGGTTCCATATTTTCGATTAATTTCGAAGTTATGTTAAACAATTTGATGTATAATTAGAAATATTTTTAATCATGAAATTGCAACCAATATTGTTTGCCAAATCTAACCCTAAATCCACACACATTTGTCTAATTTATTCAATTATTAATAATTGCCAGTACAATTTGTAAATAACAGGTAATAGTAACTACCTGGTGTAACGCAGTTTCTCTAGAATACAATGTAATTTATTCTTTAACAAAATCTATCAGTGTTATAGCCCATTGTGTTATAGTGGGGTAATAAAAGAGATCCAAACTTTAGGATAGTCCAAAATACGCAATTAGTATTGATATTTAAATCGGGAAAAATAACGTAGAAACAATAATTTGAAATTTACCAAATGTATTTGGATTTTTTGTTAGAGTTTATCTCAGACTTTTTTTGAAGTTGGATACATTTGAAATGTAATGAACAAAACTGATTTACCTGTATCAGTTAAATGTTCAGTTTGGGACGACTAGCGTTTTTCTGAATATTTTTTTTTTCAAACTGTTTAGCTGATGCCATTTTCTCAATGATTGGCTAAACTAACAAAAGACCCAGTTCTATTTCTTTATGAAAGTGTTAGTTAATCCTCGCGCTGCCTAAACTGATTAAAAACCTAAACACATAAAGGTGCATCCCCTATTATGCCGTTCGGCAAGGCCACCTGGCTTTGGCTAAATCGACTTGTGCCCCACAACACATACAGTGAATACGTGATGAAACGACCCACAGCATCGGAAATATCAAACTTTATATAGCTAATTATGAATTAAGATATCATAATTTTATTCTGACGTTATTATTTTAACTAGCAATATAATAGATAATAATGAAAAAAAAAAAAAATTGAATTTATAATAGGTAATAGAAAGAATAAAACACGAAAAAGTTAAATGTTTAAAGTTCTCGACCGTGTTGTGTCAAATTGATAAATGTTATAATTTTGCTTATCAAATAACCAGTCAAAAGCCCGGGAAGTATATCACTAAGCGATAGCTGACGTAGAGTACCCCATAAAAAGTGTGTAGTTAATTCTCTAGTAATTAATTTTACTCAAACATTAACCTTATCATATCTTTTTAACGGTGTGACACAATTTTCTAAAATTTGAAAAATATACTATAGCCTACCCAAATTATATACTAAATTACTATACACAATGGGTCTAGCGAGGCCATAATGCTGTGGGGCATCCCAACTTTTCAACTTTACAGATAGAGATATCTACTTGCTCATTTAACAATATGTGGAGTGATCCACAAAAATATTCTTTATAGTAGCACTTGTTAAAATTAACGTATGTTGAAGAAAACAATTATTTCTCTTTTATAAGTGTCTGTTTGAATTTATATCTGTCTTTATCGGACATGGCTTACTTTAGAAACATTTTCAGTGGATCAATCTTTACTATTCTAAAATAAAGAACATAGAATAGGTAAAATAAAATATACACATGAATTATATCTGCACGATAGAACCTTCTCAGAACTCTTAACCGTGCGCTACAAAAAAAAAAAAAAAAACGTTATAAATCTAAGCATTTTGGTAGACGAACAGCCAGCGTACCGTAAAAAGAATATTCCTGTAGGTAGAAAGTAAGATATCGAAAATAAATTGTCGAGGGAGTACAGCTGAATAGTCGAAGTCATTCCTATAAGCTAATTGTGGACTTACCGTAAAACTGAAATATCAACAGCATATAGAAAAGCAGATGTGGGTTTGTCGTCCGAAGAGCTTGTACGTTATGCATGATTGCACGATCTCAATCCACCCCGTCTATGTGGCCGTTGAGTCCCATGGCCCTGCAACAGACATTAAAGTGAGTATAGTCCCTAGTCCCTTGTACCAGCCGCCTAATTCAGCGGCATCCCCACACATTTTTGACATGGGAAAATTTAATTTTACAATACAGAGATCGTGAGTGTTATACGATACTAAATTTAAAATATATTATACATATATTAACAAATTTGTGTTTTATACAAACGAGGTTTAATCACAGATTATAGAGATTTTATCCAGCAATTTTGCCGAACCTTTTATTATTCCAACCTGATAAAAATGTTCATCCGCTAAGCAGATGGGTGAAGATCGTCCTTACATCGTATCTTAGACAACTCTTTACAAACTATTGTGTTAAATAAATAAAGTTAAATCTATTTGACACAGTTTTTCATTTCCACGGTTAAAAAAATAAATATCCTCCCTGTACAGAAAAAAATAATCAGCAATATTCAAGTATTGTGTATTCCGTTTGCGGTTGTTGATAATAGTTACATCACAACATAACATCGCTGTGAGAAAGGGACCAGGAAACAGCAAACGACTCGTTGGGAATTGTAGTACGGGGAGCTTTAGAATCGCGAAGGGGAATCCAGCGACCCCTCTCTCTATTACCAGGGACGGATCAGTGAATAACAACATAAAGGTTTTTGGTTTTTAATTTTATTCATAAAATTTACGTAGAAACAATAATATTTATTTTTACAAAAAAACATTAATTCGTTTATTTAATTAGGCATTTAGAAGAGAATTGTGTATAATATTCCCGGGCAAAAGCACCCTACAAAATAATTACAAATTTTTACAGCATTGCCAAATATTCTACCCAAAATCAAAGCTAGAGTGTTGAAAATTATTTTCTAGCTCTGCTATTCACCTTTTGATATAATGCAATGCCTGTTGCGGTATTATCCAAGGGAGTAGTAGTTTTCAAGAGGGAAATGGTCGCTCGTTGTTTCTGTGACACGAATATTTGAGATTTTCTCTTTTCCTTCATAATTTATTTCTAAAATATTTATAAAACATTTGTGTTTTCTTGTAATTGGTAGATAATTTCAGTGATTATTATGTCATATTGACATTGATTATACTATTTAATACAGATTTATTTATATTAAATTTATACTAAATTATAGAAATATCAACAATTAATTTTTCTCCGCTTGTCTAATTATTTTTCTATCTTACTCTTCGTACAATACACAAAGAGATGAGATTATTAGGAAAATAAAAGTAATCATTTGGCAACAAACTTTTTATATTATGAAATAAATTTTAATTCTCAAATGTGAACAATTTAAAAATAAAAATAAAAAGAAAAAAGAAACACTCAAAATTCATATCATAGAAACGTCAAGCAACCGTTTTCGTCCTAAAAACAACTACTTCTTTGACTGGTACCGCAACAGGCATTGTATTATAAAAAAGTAAAATAGCAGAGATAGAAAAACGATTTTTAACAAGAGAACTTTCTTGCTGATGATAAACTTTATTTAAATACAATATATAAAACTATTTTGATTGAAAGAACTTACAAAATATGCTTTTAACTAAACAAAATTGATGTTAGATTCAACACATTTCTTCCTCTAAATTAAAAAGTTAGTTTTTTTTTACTTAATTTCATCATACACTCACGCATAGATAGAATTTAGCCCATGTTAGGTATTTTCAAAGTGAATTAGAGAGAGCATTCCATTCTATTTTCAGTTTATATACTGGTTGGTTGAATTACGAAAAGTCAATAAATTAATTTGAATAGGCCATAAATAAACAAACTCCGTCCGTTGAGTGCGAAAAAGTTGTTATAATTTAAACGAACATTGTGAATATTGCGGTTTTGTCGTTTTGAGCTTCACAGCTATTACGCAAAAATTATGAAGTCATTATTTTTTTATTTAATTATATGTCGGTTACCCCAAATGTATTAATTGTTTTTTGCTGTAATAATTTTGTAGTTACTGATTTATTTACAGGTCATATTTTTAACATTAAAAATATTTTTTTATATATATATAAAACTGTGATCTCACTTATTAAACAAAAATGGTTTATTTATCATCAAAAATTTAAATATTAACAAATATACTTAAATATTAATATATTATTTAACTTTTAATAGTAACAAATGATAATCAGTGTTGACCATACAATATTTGTTTTCAATTTTAATTTATTCTCTATTAAGAAAACTTTATCGCTATTCTCTTTTTATTTTTCAAGTCATTAATAATTTCTATATTCTTTCTAAATCATTAAAATATTCTGCACACCTTCTCGATTTTGAGGATACTTTATATCTACAATAAGTAAATATTAATAAATCTTTCTTTTACAAATGAAATAATAACCTCTTGTTCTGCAAGAAGTATAATTAAAGAAATGATTTTAATTCTTGTAAGCTCTCTGTAAATTTGTTGCTTTTCTTTTCTATCAATAGCGGATCCACGTAATTTCATGAAACCCGTCCAGCAATAAAAAGTAAAATAAAACTGGGACCGAAAAAAAAGAAGAAGAAACAATTAGAAATCAGAAAATGCAAGGAATAGAATGCGAGATTTTTCTTTCAAATGTGAACCATACCAACTAGAGAATATAAAGCTGAAACAAGCAGTTAAGCAGCACATAAATATGCACACAGTCATACCTTAGTACTTTATGTATTATTTCAAGTAGTAGTTCTTTTCTATAGAGAAAGCTACACAATTAAAATTCAAAATCGGATAATTTATAATAAAGAACAATACTTTGAACTATTAAATGTTTTTTTTTATTTTACTTATCCTTCTATCAAATATAAAAAGTTTCGCCCCTAATATAATTTATTTGGACGAGGAAATAATGAACAAATAATAATGTCTTGCTGATTTAATAAATCTCGCATAACGTAATATATACACATTAATACAATAGCCAAAACTAAAACTAATAAGCAATAGCTACAGTGCCGATGCCGTATGTCTAATACCTTACACATAATAGTAGTTTGTGCAACAAGAGTGGATATGATGGCTATATCGTATGAAGACGAAGCTTGAACACCGTAAGTCTAAGTTTAATTCGGACAATCCATTCGGGTTGTACAGTATATTTTTTCTACTAAGTAGAAAAGTAGAAAATTGCAATTATTTTCCAAACAGTCGTCTAATTATGACATTTCAAGTCGTGGAATACCTTAGAATGTCATGAAAAGAAAAAAAAAAAAAGAAAACGTTATCTAAAAATTTGTGCGATTTTTCCTTTAGAAGTAAGATTTTCAATATTTCGAGGCGCGATCTTCTTTCCGAAAAAAAATTATTTTCCAAAGGGTCGACTAATTATGACATTTCAGGTCGTGGAATACCTTAGAATTTCACGAAAAGAAAGAAAATGTCCTCTAAAAGTTTGTGCGAGTTTTCCTTTAGAAGTTAGACTTTTAATTTTTCGAGGCGAGATCTTTCCGAAAAAAAATTATTTTCCAAACGGTCGACTAATTATGACATTTCAGGTCGTGGAATACCTTAGAATGTCATGAAAAGAAAAAAAAAAGAAAACGTTATCTAAAAATTTGTGCGATTTTTCCTTTAGAAGTAAGATTTTCAATATTTCGAGGCGCGATCTTCTTTCCGAAAAAAAATTATTTTCCAAAGGGTCGACTAATTATGACATTTCAGGTCGTGGAATACCTTAGAATTTCACGAAAAGAAAGAAAATGTCCTCTAAAAGTTTGTGCGAGTTTTCCTTTAGAAGTTAGACTTTCAATTTTTCGAGGCGAGATCTTCTTTCCGAAAAAAAAAAAAATATTTTCCAAACGGTCGACTAGTTATGACATTTCAGGTCGTGAAGTACCTTAGAATGTCATGAAAAGAAAGATAATGTCCCCTAAAAGTTTGTGAGAGTTTTCCTTTAGAAGTTAGACTTTCAATTTTTCGAGGCGAGATCTTCTTTCCGAAAAAAAATTATTATATAGATAAAATAAATATTTGCTGAATGTCATTTTGATTTTGTGGCTATGAAAATGGACTTCACTATAGGTCTAAACAATAACAATATTATTTTACTATTGTACTATATAGATCAAGTAAATATTTTCTGAATGTTAATTTAATTTTGTAGCTATGAAAAATTGACTTCGCTGTAGGTGCAAACAAAAATAATATTATTTAACTGTTGTACTCATCTCGTTATAGATCAAATAAACATTTTCTAAACTTGTAGCTATAAAAAATTGACTTCGCTATAGGTACAAACAAAAGCAATGTTATTTGGCTATTGTACTGATCTCGCTATAGATCAAGTAAATACTTGTCGAATATCAATCTGACTTTGTTCCTATTGATTTCGCATAAGTTCAAGCAAAAAAAATGTAGACTGTAGACTGGTCATTAAATATTATTTCTGATTGGTGAATTTCATATCCATACATTGTTCTTACTAGAATGGATATAAAATTATATTTGGGTGAGAGAGTTTATTAAAATAGTTGGATAGCAAAAATGAAAAACAAAACAGACTTTTTAAAAACCATAGAGAATTATTTTACCTAGCAGTAGTTCAAACATTCTTATGCTTTAGCAGCAACAGTTGTTACAGCAGCTGTTTAGGTTCACAAAGACATTAACTATTCTTGACTTTACGGATAGTGCGCGAAGCAGCACAACCTCGTACAGCAACATTCCTGCTCCCGTCAATCAGCTTGATCTCTCTCTGCTATGAACTGCCGCCACCTGACAAAAACAAATTTGCAGCTCCGTAAAAATTATCAGTGTTTTTCCATCAATAAAATAAATAAAAATAAAAGTGATCAAATTATTTACATCCTTTTAAACATAAATAAACAGTAGTGCTACATGTACAGTAACAAAATTATTTACATCCTTTTTAACACAAACAAACAACAGCGCTACATACACAGCAGCAGGAATTTCCAAAGTTGGGGTGACCTAATTGGAATACTATTTGTCTTCCATCAATTAAATAACGTGTATAAAAGAGTATAATATACATATATATTTAGACAAACAATAAAACATATTGATAA